CTTTTCATATCCAGAGAAATATTCTGCCTTTTCAATATTTCCTAGGATATTTCATTTTTCTGGGAGAGGGCTGGATGATAACTTCCCACACTAGAGAGTAAACAAAAGTATTTTTACACCTCTGTACTGCCATAATCAAAACGCATAGAAAATAAAATGTTTCACACACACAAACGTAATACAGAAAACTATAAATACAGTTAAAAGGTGGAAGCATGAAGCCATTGACATTTAATTCCGTCTATACATCCGTAAAAGCGCTCGTTTTAATTGCGGTGATATGGATTGAAGTTCAAATCACGAACGTGGGAATCACAGCGCCTCAAGCTTTACCGAAAGCCAGAGAAGCGCGCGAATTTTAGTAGAGATTGTCCTAGCGTGGAAAAACCTTCCGCTAATCACGGGTTGGTTGTGCTGAGAGGTGAGTATCACATGATTGGTTGGAAAAATGTCATTCTACTCGAGCATTTTAGCTATTGGCAGGATTACAGAAGCCGAACGGTTAAGTGTTTGCGAGTAACGTTACGTCCTTAATGTCAGTTCTTCATTGGTTAAAAAACTTGCTCGTCGATTGGAGCAATGCCCTGCCAGTCATGCTTCATAGGTTGGTCATTCGCTAGAGGTTACGAACAGCTCTTGGGTAAAAAAGCTATCAATCCAAACGTCGCGTTCTCATTGGTGAGTTTCTCGGAGCCACGTCACGCCGCGAAGCTGGGCTATCTCCTTGCCCCCTTAACCTCATCGTGCTTTCCGTTGGGTTCCGGCTGGCTAGGCCGCGGTTGTGGTGGCAGGCATGGCGGTAGCTGTGCGGGCTCTACAGGAGCAGCTGGAGAAGGCCAAGGAAAGCCTCAAGCACGTCGATGAGAATATCCGCAAACTCACAGGGCGGGACCCCAACGATGTGCGGTGAGACCCTAAGCGGGGGAGCGGGGAAGGGGTTGGGGCGTGGAAGCGGCTTACTTGAAGGGCTGCTTTTGCGGTTGACTTATCACCGCGAGGCCTTCTTCGCGCCTTCCCTTCGACAACCAATATGGGGTGTCAGTTGCCCCCGTTACGGATCTAAGCAGCTCGGGCGCCTTCTTCCAACAGAAGAAGCCCGCGGTGAGCTTCCTCGGCGATTTTCTTTTCCTTTTTTCCGCGTCCGGATGGAAATGCCCAGAGCGCTATAAAAGGAGGAGCGGGGAAAATTTTGCTTACGGGGTGGGGGTGCCTGGCGGTGCTTCAGCCAAGGGTGCCGGCATGAGCTGGGAAACGCTGCAGCGCTCTGCAAACACGAGGCCTCTTAGCGTTTCTCCTGAGAGGCGGGTGTTCCTTTTCTGTGCTTCCTTCCTGGCGATTAGCAGCATTTCATTGTGTGTCTCCTCCTTTCCAGGCCCGCTCAAGGGAGACTGTTGGCCATCGCAGGCCCTGGTGGAGGTAGGGGACGCGGAAGCCTATTACTGAGGTGAGTGTTGGAGGACCTGCGAGAGGAACGAACTGTTTTAATACTGCCCAAAACTCTTTCGCGGTGTGGAAATTCAGCTTACATTTTAATTAGTTGATGCCAAATGAAAGCATCGGTATCTATTTAAGGCTAGTCAAACTTAAGTCTGACTAGCACTTTTAAACAAGCTCCAAGTATGTGTTTATGATAGTCATAACTAGGTGGCCAGCAGCCTACTGTAAAGTCACCGCTGTGTTACTGTTTGGGATGCTTATCCTTTGTTTGGACTACTATTACTGCTGCCCTGAGAATATTGTATAGGAATAGTTCATCTTCTCTCTAAAAAGGCTTACTTAAGGTTAGTTAGGGAGGAAAATCAATAATCAACTGCACTTTGGATAAGCATACTGGAATTATACAAGGCTCTGCAGAAAAGCCAACACAAGTGACTTCAGCTGATCTGCAGGTTTCTATTATAATTCTGGAGTAGACAAGCAAACAACAAGGGTAATCATTGTTTATAAGCTGTCTAGAGTTGTATGAGCCAATTGGAGGCTGT